GAAATTGATGTCATTTTCTACAGCTTCTAGCACTACAAAAAACTACTAAAATCCCCAATAGGAAGAGACTTGTAGAACTTTGTAAGCTATTTGTCTGACTGTGAGGGACCAAAATCATGACTATCTTCTACATGTGGTCAGTCTTAGCACATTAATAACAAATGTGATTAACAGTGCCAGTAGCTGTCTAGAGACCTGTTCTAATGGTGAGAAAAATTGTTTTGAAGTTGCTGTGATATGAAAGTACTTAAAATGACTTGAAAGTCTTAACAGAAGATCTTTTTATTTCTCGCCAGGGTGATCCAGTCAGGTCCGTAAGTGGAAGTGATTCTTGTAATTTAACACTTCAGTATTTCATTCTTGTCTGTAGAAGTTGTAGCAAGAATTGGATTGTGAGCTGAAGACTGGAAAGTATAAAATATAGTTAGCAAGGACTGTGTTTTGATTAACTCTGGTTTCCAGTCCTATAGACCTGTTCCAGAAAAGCTTTTTGAGAAGAAAGACAGCTTTAGCTATTGCATAAAATGTCAGTTTAATTATGATTCCAAATTGTGTGGGTTGTCAGTCTTGATAATGTTTTGTATCTCTTCCTATATTTGGTTTGAATAAACTTAATGTTTAAGTAGTCAAAAAATCTGAATTAAATGAGTTAATGAAATCAGACAAGGAATATCATCTTTTTCTCCTTTCAACAACTGACTGTTGTGGAAGAGAGTTTCCAAAGCAATTGTTTAATTATAGAAAAACTAATGTAGTACAGGTAATTCTCAAACTGAAACAAATAAAAGTATCTGAACTATGTAGCATATCAGGCCTCCACCAATTATGTTACATATAGAAATTCTCAGAAATAATAAACATCAAGAGAACTTAAGAAGAACAAAGTACATACTTCAGTCTCCTCGCCCCTATTCTTTAATGTCCTATATCAGTTAATGATAATACTGAACTTGCTTGAGAACTTACTTTCCTTTTTCAAGCAAAGTACTTTCAGCATTACTTATGTATTCCTGCTTATCTACCAAGTCAGATTCAAAACTCATTAATAATTATGTCCACTCTTTTTCATCTGTAGAATCCATACTGTTGTACAGAACAATTCATAAAGATCACAGAATCACAGAATTGCAGGATTTGGAAGGGACCTCAGTAGATCATTGAGTCCAGCTCCCTGCTAAAGCAGGTACTCTACAAAAGTCTTACTGGTAGGCATCCAGACGGATCTTGATTATTCCCATAGGTGAGTCCACAGCCTCTCTGTATAACCTGTTCCAACGCTCCATCATCCTTAATGTACAGAAGTTCTTCCACATGTTAGTACAGAACTTCCTGTGTTCAACTTTTAGGCCATTACTCCTTGTCCTGCTGCTATGCAGCACCAAGAAGAGATGTCCCTTTGGTGAATCCATTGTGACTACTCCTGATAACCTTCTCTTCCAATTGCTTAGAGAGAGTATACAAAACGTATTGTTCCATCACCTTTCCAGGAACAGAAGTGCAGTCGTGGAGGTTACAACAGGGTATTGGTTATTGGCTCCTGACGACACGCAATTGTATTTTCATATGGCAGTAAACTCCTAAATCAGTCAGTATTTTATTGCTAGCACTAGCTTGCTCTTGCAGCCTGTGGTAGCAGAGTCCATAAGAAAATAAAGAATAGAATTATGAAAAGTTCCCTTTTGCAGTCAATGGCAAAATTACTACAGAATTCACGGGACATAGTTTTTGTATTTGTTAATTACAGATAGCAACACTTTTCATTCTTTAGGGCAGACACCTTTCCTTTCTGCCTCCTTGCCTCCTCCCTGCCAGTTGAAGTTATGATCCGGAGGAGATTGATGGTTAAATTGCTGTTTGAAAGCTTGTTACACAAGTGTGGAACACAAAACAAGGTGGTTCTGTATTGTTTGTATAAGTAAAAATAATTTAGGAATCATATAGCATACAGTACTAAACTGCATTGGAAAAGAATTTCTATGCATATACTTGTTTACTGGACACGGTCTAGTAGTGAAGCTCCTGCAAAAATGAAATTAAATTTTAATTTCTTTTGTATGCCCTCTCCACTGCAATAGAGAGATGTAATCTTCACTTCCTTGTCTGTAACATTAATTTGACACCGCAGTATGTTCTGCTGGAAAAATCTAGACAGCATTACTCCAATCAGCTCTACAGTGCTTGCTACATTTCTTTTATGCTGTATGACAACAAACAGGCTCATGCTGTTATTTGTAGTAACTATGGAAACTTTAGAAGCTCTCTTTCTAAAGCTGAGCTTACAATAAAGTGCTTAAATTGTTGGTAGGATTAGAGACTCTCGAATATGTTTAATTTTCTCTGTGTGTCTCTATTTTTGGAGAGGAGCAAGAGGGTAATGTGAATATTAACTGGCGACTAGCTTTAATCTCTGCTGACACTTAAGACTGTCTAGTTCTGCACACAGCCATCCAAAGGTCTTAGCCTCACACAGCATGTGAACAAGGGAAATCATGCATATTCATGCCTGAATTTACAATGGAAAACCTGTATACAGAAAAGAGTTTTTGAATGAGTGAAAAACGTTATTGAAACCATTTTGCAGCTTCAGCTACAGTAGTCAATAATGATAAATGCCATAATGCTGACAGAGTTCATAAAATAATGGGGGTGTCTTAGATATTATCTAAGCATGAATGGATATGATAATAGGAAAACATCATTTGCTGTGGATTGTAGAAGTGCAGCAGGAGTATTCCCAAGACAAATTAAAAAAAAAAAAAAAAAAAAAAAAAAAAATACTTTTTTATTTTCTGGGAGGCTCTTTGCACGAAAACTATCAGTCTTTGAATTTTTTTTTTTTTTTTTCTAAGGAGATATTTTTTTATGCAAGTGAAATTCAGTGTTGTGGTTTAACACCGGAGAACTCTGCACCTCCTCCTAGGAGAAGAGCCATGGGGGTGACAGCATTTTTCTCAAATACACTGGAAGAACTTCATGTTACTTTCTGGCACTCATTAAATGCCCTAAATCGGAGCTAAGGCTGATAGGTATCAGCCTCTTTCCATGTGCTTATTCATCTCCATTCGTTGCATGTTCCAGCATTCTGAAGTTTTTTCTCTCCATTGAAGGTGATTAAGGAGATTCTGCTTCTGTATGATTGGATTTCTGTGATATTTTGTTGGTTTTTTTATACACAAATGTAATCTTCAGTGGAAATACTCAGTTTATCTAACTTACATACATTTTTTGGCACTTGTCTTTTCATTTAACCGTAGTAGTGATACACTGTCAGAAGACAATACATTGATTCTCTGTCAGGTTCACCTTTTTAGGTTTCCATGTGAAATACAATTTTCTATTCTACATTTCTCTACCTCGTCAATACCCCACTTGGATCCAGCCTTTGGCCAGAATAAATGACAGAAGTGTGCAGCGTGTTCCCTGACAGTTTGAAAAACTGTTGGAAAAATAGTGTTATATTTGTTGCTGCTTTACCACTTTTGATTTCCAGTTTTGTGCTGCATGAATGTTTAAGTAAATACGAATTACTGCTAAAGGGCAGGGGGCCGTTTCACTAATGCATGCCAGTGCAGTATTGTTCCCTAGCATGTATGTTTCCTCTGATGTTTGGCCAATATACTCTTCATTTAAACATTTCTCTCTGTTGAGGATTCCTTGTGGGCTTTTTATTTCAGTCTAGTATTTTTTGGCATTAAACTATATCTGTGGTTATGAGGAGACAGGATTGAGGTGGGCACAACATTCCGTGCAAGATATGTACAGAAAGTATTAAGACTGTTGTAAGAATACATGTGCAGTGGCTGGTGCAGAAATAGCAGATTTTGCAAATGTTATCATGATAGACTGTGTAACAATGTCCAATTTGCATATTTTATTCTTTTGGCTGAGATTCCCATCTTCCCCCATTGATTTTCCCCTCCAGTCATGCCCTGGCAAATGCCCATAACAGCACTATCTCATCTCTCTGCTTAGACACTGTCCAGCCCAAAACACATCAATGAGATGAGTAAATTATGCATATTCTTCTACTGGATGTGAAGCTACATGTACTAAATAATTGGTGCCCTGCAGGCAAACCACTTTTGTGTGATGCAGAATTGCTTGCCTCCCGTATGGGTAAGTTGGGAAAGATTATATCATCACACAGCTTTTCAGTTACAGAATTAGGGCTAACAACTCTGACACTTCATAAAATGAACAGTGTAGCTCATTTGGAAAATGCCTGACTGATAATCCTGGGAGTTAAAATCCTTTGCCTATGTCCCTAATGTGTGCCTCAATCCTGGCCTCAAGGGCCCACCTTAGAAGGTGAATAAGTTGCAGCTTGTGCCCATTTAAACACGAGCAGGAACTACCTGCCGCTGATCATAGTGTCTTTTATGTTGGCAAGGTTGTAAAAGCATCCAGGCACAAAGAACTGAATCTAGATAATTTTAAAGGTTAAATATTTTAAGTGTCTCCCACATTCTTCTGCTATTTTTAGTTGTTAGCATGGATGTGTTTCTCTTTATCTGCGTTTCTTCAACGTTTGCAGTGAGAGTAATCAGTCATCTTCTTGTTTGTACCTATACAGTTCATGTTGTTTGCCGGTTCTCAGATGTGCAGTGTTGAGGTGTTAGGACTGTAAGCACAGTGAAGTGAATGATTTTATCTTCTATTTTAATCTTGTTAAGAAGTTTATTAGCACAGTTCAATTAGCTATCATTCTATTTTTTAAAATGTCCTTTTAATTCCTGCAGTTTGTGTTCTTTTTAAATTTTTATTCAAGATAAAACCTAGTAAACTTGACTGAAGTTAATGGATGTACCTCATTTAAACGTAAATTACTTCATATGCAAGTCTTTTGCGTACAGGGACATAATCTGTAGGTATCTTACTTTTTCAAACCCTTGATTTCTTCTGTTTTTCTGGGTTTGAGGGATTGGGGGGGAAAGATGTTAACAAATTACAATGAAAAAGAAAAAAAAAATTAAATAATGATCCTTAACTCTATTCAACAGTTCTGAACCAGTGGGCAGTATATGCCATCCGAAATCTCACTGAACAAAATGAAAGAAACCAACAGCTTATTGCCCAGATGGAGGAGAAAGGGCTGGCAGATAATTCTGCCCTTGAGAGTATGGGTTTACAGATAGAGAAACAAGATGAGAAGTTAATTCTGAGATCTGCCAGAAAAAAGCCTTCATGAACAAAAAAATTAAGAACAGTTGATTCATTAAAAGAGGATTTCTCTTTTAAAATGTTTTCCCTGCTGAGACAATCAAGACTTCTTCAATTTTAGTTCCAGTTGGCTGAATGTGTTCTGTTCATTCTTGGAGAAACTGCCATACAATTGTTCTCCCTTCCTGTTGTAAACAAAGAGATATGTCTGCTTTTTCTATATACGTAGGGTAGATGAATTTATGGAGAAAAATCCTTCTTTTTCACACGGTTGAAATGTCATTACTTTCCTGTTTCATTAGTGCAAAGATGACCTATTGAGTTAGAATTTCCTTTGCTAAGCCTGAGGGCAACTATCATTAAAAAACACAACTAAAATAACTACTTTGCAATTTGCCCTCTATATTTTACAAGATCTGTGCTGAACCAGGGCAAAACAGTGAAAGTTTTTTGTTTTCTCTCATTATGCTTAAATAACTGTCCTTACATAAAGATCAGTGGAATGTTGAATGTACGTAAATATTTAGTGAATTAAACAAAACATGCCTTCAGCATATTAAATTGTTAATAAATTGTGTTTTCTGCCTTGATACCTTTCACTCTTTGTGACAAGTATATTAAAAACAAAGCTGAAGCTGTTGTGGCAACAGATGCTACATTCCTTTGCACTGGGGCATGTCTCTGTTTTGGAGACTTTGGTGTTTGTTTGAATTTTATTTGTTCCTTTGGATGGTAAGTCAGCCCACTTTCCTTTTATTTTGCACTTCTCATGGGTTTTCTGAACTCTGGCAGACTGCTGAAGAGGTAGTTTCTCACTGTGATTAATTCTAGCAGATTCTTTTCACCCCTCTGCCTTTCCAAAACATTGACAAAACTCATTTCCAGTTAATTAATTCAAGAGAGGCAGAAGAATGGAGGGCCCTGCCTCTTCATTTTGGGTACCCTCCTATATTGTTGTTGGACCCTGCCACTGTGGAATGTGGCATGAATGAGATGGGGCTTGAGAAGGGGGGCTGAGAAAGGGGAGGATTGGTGGGGGTGGGGTGGGAGTGGGTTAGGGGGGGTAGTTAAGGTTAACACTGTGCTTGCCATACCTTGCCCTGGTATTGAAGAAATGTAGTCCTCCACGTATCAACCAAATAAGAATTACAACTTAATGTTACTAGCTCTTATGTATCGCTGCTTTCATTTGCTTACCTTCAGTCCAAACGGAAAGGTCCCAGAAAAGTTAAATTGTTTATGTTTTTGTAATTGAATCAATTCTCAACTGGAAAGGTAAGGTTATGTCCTGAAACTACTTGTAACAGACTTTGTGCCACATGCGTCAGCTTCACTTCTCAAATCCAGTTTTGTACTTAAAAATGGAAAGAAAAAAAAGTACAACATACTTTGAACTCTGGGAAATTTATTTTGCTGCTTAAAACTGATAAGGAGTTTAGCCAGGTTACTAAGATCTTCTCAGTTTTACTGTAAGACTTCAATGTCATTCATTCTGAATGAATGGAACTATGAACTTGATCTAGTGAGATTTTAGTCACATTTTGGTTTTCAAGGCCATGATACAAAATTGCAAGGTCTTCATGTGTTTATTAAGTAAGGGATATAAGTAAAGGGATAATGACTAGGAAAAAAGACTGTACTTGTTTGTTTGTTTGTTTGTTTTTCTTTTAGTGACAAGTTAACTAAAAAATGGAGAAAAACAGTGTTTTAGCAAAAAATCTTTTTTAAAAAATAATAATTTGACAGGAACATTTCAGAGAATATTAAAAATGGTTGTGTTTAAAATCCAGTGCGTAAAGTAATTTTTTATACAGATAAATGCCATTTGCTACCTGAGTGGAAGAGCTTATGGTTTTGGTTCTTCCTGAGAAGGTGTGTTATCATATTATGGTCTCTTAATGATTTTCCTAAGCTTCAATTCTTGTACTTGGGCCAGAATTCATTTAACAGTTAAATTACTGCAGCACATCAGATTTAGAGCTGGCAATCTTCATAGCATTATCTGAAAATTCATAGTTCTAGTACCTAAGTGACAAAAACAAACAAACAGGCAAACAAAAGACTCTAAGAAACCTCACTTTTTATTTAGAAGGCAACATCTTTTGACTTGAAAAGGAAAGACAAAGCTTTTATTAACAAAGAAACATCAAATATAGTAGCACCTAGAAATAAAGTGACAAGGTTTTTAACTGAGGAATTATAAAACCTCAAACACTTTAGCTATGCTAGTTAGGAAACTCATGTCAGATAGTTAACAAAGTAAGAAAAAAGTACTTATTGTGAACAGAAAATAAACTTCATATTTGAGGAGAAAAAAATGCAGATAACTTTCTTTTATTTAGGGTAACAAAGAGTTAAAATCCTATCCACAAAGCAAATCCAGAAAGCCATTCGGTAGTGGAAAAAACAGTGGGAGTCCCTTTTTCCTTTTAAGCAATAGGGAATAGGAAGCTTTTTTTTTTCTTCCTTTTTTTTTTTTAAAAAAAAAAAACTTAATCGTTGTGTACCCATCATGTGCACAAACCTGTAAATATAAAGCAAATAATAACAAACACAAATTAGTGAAAGCGTTTTGTGTGTTTCAGTGCATAATGGAGTAATGGTTGTGTTTTCTAAATGGGAAATGTAGGGCTTTCACGGTGGAGAACACGCTGATTACTGTATTGTGAGTGGTTGGCTTTTGATTTTCCTAGATGGATTAATTCTCAGAACACAACAGCTTCCCTGTACTCCCCCAGTGGAGTCCTAGACTCCAATAGGCTTGTTTTATATGGCAGGGGATTAATACAGCACAGCAATCAGTCATAAAAAGCAAGCTTTATTGAGTTTGTAAAGAGGCAGAATAGTCAGATCAAGTCTTGTGACCATCTTATCGCTTTTGAGTGTTTTCAAACAATAGTGATCAGATCTCTTTTTAAGGTCTAGTTTTTATATAATGAGTAGAATTTTCAAAAGCCTCTTTTTACTTGTTGTGAGAAACAATTTTAAATGTTTGTAGAATTCTGAATTTTTAGTGCTTCATCTAATGACTTATATTTCTTTTGCCTTAGTATTTGTAAAAATGCATTTTTTGTAACTGTAACCAACAAAAAATAAAATCCCTGGCACTTAATGCCATTGTCGCCATCTTTATTTAGCAGTTGATTTTATGTTTTTAACTTGGTGCGAGTGTTTGGGTAGGGAGATTTAAAATCTCCCCTTTATTTACAAATAAAAGCAATGCAAATGTCAGGTGGCACCTAAAACGACTGAAACCTTTCTTTATACCTAGCCACATCTGCATCATTGTCTCATGTTGTCTTAGAACTTGCTGTCTTACAGTATTATCAGAGGCTTCGCTTCTTCATATTAAATGCTAGAGAGGAAGAAATTGAGAGGTAAGCAGAAGCAACCCTTTTTTCTTTCTTTCAGTTTTCACTTCCTCCCTAAAATCGCTAAGGTCTCCATCTTATGCCACCGTTCTGGCATCTGTCAGTGAGGGGGTATCCGTAGGGAAAAGTGCGCTGAGCTCGGCAAAGGGCGGCCGGGCGCCGCAGCCTTCGAAGCTGGCCTCCTCCCACTTGGAGGCCCAGCGGCGCTGTCCAAGGTGCTGATGCCGTTCCTTCTCAGCTGCTCGTATGCGGAGATATTCGAAGCGCCGGGTTGTTCACTAGGTGGATTGCCACTTCATTTCCTGAAGAGCTGCTCCTGGGTATGTTGAAGTCACAGCAGGCTAAAGACATGACTGAAGACAAATGTTTCTTGTTCTTTTATATGTGGGAGATATTTAGGTAGTTGTTGTTTACATGCAGACCTGTTAGCAGTGTCCCTGTTTAGGATTAAATAATGCTTTCCATATTGAGATCCATTTCCAGTTGCTTGTAGGCAAATGGCAATCAAATGGCAATTGTGAAAGTAGTATGCCTCCATTTCTTTCCAAACTCCAGACATTTCAGAAATTTGGAATACAAAAAGGCATCCTTCTTTGTGTATCTCCTCTGATAAATGATATGGTGGAGACTGAGGTACTTAACAAGTCCTGTGCTTTGGTTTTCACAGTCAGTCAGGCTTTCCACGCCTCTTATGTCCCTGAACTTCTAAAACGGAGAGCAAAATTCTTCCCAGTGTAAGAGTGGAGCAAGTCTGAGACCATCTTATAAGACTGAATGTGTACAAGTCTATGGGATCTATAGGACTAGATGATACGTATCCCAGGGCTCTAAAGGAACTGGCTGATGTGGTTGCCAAGCTGCTCTCCATCATATTTGAAATATCTTGGCTGTCAGGCAAAGTTCCCAGTGACTGGAAAAAAGGAAACATTACTCCCATATTCAAGAAGGTGGGAAAGGGAAACCCAGGGAATACAGGCCAGTGAGCCTCACCTCTGTGCTTGAGAAGATCATGGGACAGAGCCTCCTGGAAGCTGTGTTAAGGCAGCTTACACATGCAAGATGTGGAGGTGATCCAAAACAACCAGCACAGCTTTACCAAGGGCAGACAGTATCTGGCTAATCTGGTGGCCTTTCATGATGGTGTGACAGTATCAGTGGACCAAGGAGGGGCAACTGATGTTGTCTGCCTGGAATTGTGCAAAGCTTCTGACATGGTCCCGCACTACATTCTTACCTCTGAATTGGTTAAATATGGATTCGAAGGCTGAACTATTTGGTGGATAAAGGATTTGATTGGATGGTCATAGCTAGAGTGTCATTGTCAATGGCTCTATGTCCAGCTGGAGGCTGGTCACAAGTGGTGTCCCCCAGGGGTCATCTTAGGACTGGAGCTCTTCAACATCTTTAACGGTTACATAGACAGTGGGATTGAGTGTACCTTCAGCAAGTTTGCTGATGACACCAAGCTGAGTGGTGCAGTTGACACAATAGAACGGAAGGACATCATCCAGAAGGAGATAGACACACTTGAAAAGTGGTCCCACATGAACCTAATGAGGTTTAACAAGGCCAACTGCAAGGTGTTGCACATGGGTCAAGGCAATTTCAAATATGAAAACAGACTGGGAGAACTTATTGAGAGCAACCTTATGGAGAAGGACTTGGGGATCCTGATGGACAAAAAGCTGGATGTAAGCCAGAGTAATCATAGAATCACAAGGTTGGAAATGACCTGTAAGATCGTCTAGTCCAACCATCTTCTCATTACCATTGCTACCACTAGCACTAAACCATATCTCGTAGCTCCTCATCCAGACACCTCTTGAACACTGTCAGGGACAGCGACTCCATGACCTCTCTGAGCAGGCCATTCCAGTGAGGCCTGACCACTCTCTGAGGGAAAAAGGTTTTCCTCATGTCTAACCTAAACCTCCTCTGATACAACTTGCAGCCATTTCCCAGGTCCTGTTCATTGCCTGGGAGAAGAAGCCAAAACCCCTCTTCACCACAACCTCCCTTCAGGAAGTTGTAGGTCTCCCCTGAACCTCCTCTTCTCCAGACTAAACAATCCCAGCTCCCTCAGCCGCTCCTCATAAGACTTGTGCTCCAGACCCCTCATCAGTTTCGCTGTCCTTCTCTGGACACACTCCAGGGCTTCAACATCTTTCCTGTAGTGAGAAGCCCAAAACTTAACACAATAATCGAGGTGCGGCCTCACCAGTGCTGAGTACAGGGGGCTGATCACCTCCCTGCTCCTGCTGGGCACACTATTTCTAATGCAGGCCAAGATGCCGTTGGCCCTCTTGGCCACCTGGGCACACTGTCGGCTCATGTTCAGCCGAGCATCAACCAACACCCCCAGGTCCCTTTCTTCGTCACAATCATCTAGCCACTCATCCCCAAGCCAGAATGCCAGCAGTATCCTGGGCTGCACCAAAAAGGGTGGCCAGCAGGGAAAGGGAGGTGATTGTCCCCCTCTACTCTGCCCTTGTGAGGCCCCATCTGTGTCTGGGCCTGGGGGTTCCTAGTGCAAGGATGTGGAGCTGTTGGAGAGGGTCCAAAGGAGGGCCACTAAGATGATCAAAGGGCTGGAGAACTTCTGTGAAAATAGGTTGAGAGAGTTTGGCTTGTTTAG